GGGGAATGGGGAAAAATGTGTGAGTCCCAAATAGGTATCAGTTTAAGGACCACTGTTCAAAGAACGAAGAACCACGACCTCGTGTAAGGAAGCAGCGAGGCATGCTTCAAACACAGCTTGGTGTAATACATGGGCATTGTATTTAAAACTGCCAAGGGGTTTGATAAAGAGCAAAAAGAGGAGACATGTTGTATGGGATTGGTGCTGTTTCTGTGTGGAGCTGTTATTTTACTTAGGTTTTTCTAATAGAGTGTCAGCACACTGTCCCCGACTAAAAGGGGTTATACGATTCTCACCCGAACCCCCGTAGTATTGCCTCGCATTCGAGCTCGCAAACAGAGCTTTATTTGACGAAGTTAGCCAAAGAAGGGCCTGGTGTTTGTCCAAGACTGCAATGTTGGAGTTCACCCAGAATTAAAAAAGCTGAAAGGCCCACGAAAGTCTTTGAGACATTCTATACAAAATGGTTTACATATAAAGTTTGACAAAATACTCTCTTTAAGTTTGGGCCCATTTTCCTTGTCTGGAAATTGTGGCTTTTGTTTATAATGACAGTGGTGGGCAACTGCTCTGGTGAGGTTTGCTCATTCTTCACTATCAAATACGAGGATTCTTTGAATGATATATCAACTTGCAGTTCAAACACTATACAGTCTGGTCAGAACAAACAGACTTTGCACCATCGTTAAGTTGATATTTTTAGGCCTGAAATACAGGCATGAAATGTTTGGACAGGGGCACGATTTTTATCTTAACTAAAACTTAAAATTGCCCTTCATAGATAGCCTACTTATGCCGAGATTCTATGCGTTATCCACCTGTGTAAGTCTATGTTTTTTCCCAACAAATGATATAAACGCATAACGGCTTTTATTGTCCAAATGTTCCTGATTACTCTGGCGCTTGAGGTCAGGCAGATCTTGGTGTAAATGTTGATGACGTCATAAGTGTCAATTTATTTATAATCCCTGGAATACATGATACCTGCAAAAAAGAAAATAAAGAAGATAAAACTAATCTTATCCGTTTTCTTAAAACCGTACATTGTACTGTAATTTATCATTTCATTTTTTTAAAAGGTGGAATTAGCACATTTAGCAATACGTGATTATACATTGGGAAAATAGATCAGACATTTCCTAACTTCGCCCAGCTAATCTCATGTGTACTTATTGCACTATTACAGTTAGCTTTCTTCTTGCAACTACAATCAGTGTAATTGATTTAAATACTCCTCGATACGTATTCAGTTATGTACCTAGTGTTATTACCAGCC